AGGGTCGCTATGAGTCGCAAGCAACTCGACGGCACATAACAACAACAACAACAATAGTTAATATTATGCATGTTATTGTCCTTTCTTCCATTTTACAAATGTGAAAATTTTTAGTTTGCTCCTTCCTACTTAATACATGATAAATATATTCCATAAAATTCAAAATTCCTTCTTGGTGAGATTTTTTTTAATGGTTGCATAATAGTTCACTACATGAAATCATTTATTTAACTAATCCTTTAATGTCAGACATTCAAGTTGCTTTCAATTCTTGGACTGCACAACTTGTGTCATGACGATCATCTTTGTATAAAGTTCTTTATGCTTATCTTTATTTTTATAAGGTAAAGTGTTTAAATGGAATTATTAGATCAAAGGATTTACACTTTTCAGGCATCTGATTCATACTGATAGTTTTCCAGCAATTTTACAATTGTTTCTACTTCCATCAGCAATATATGAACATGATCAGGCCTTTGAAAACTATGAGTTACTGTCAGTAAAAAAGAAAGAGAATAAAACATTAGTGAAATGGTAAAGTATCTAATATGAACCACAATGTAATCCTAAATCACTGTTTTGAGGTTGTTGGTTTTTTAATTTATTTTTTTTTTATTTTCTGCTCTATGGGTGTACTCTGCGGCCGTCAGGCCTGGTTTTAATTGTTTTTGGTCAAACATTCTTCTAAGTGGTATAGCATTGGTCTGTCCATTTGCTGTACAGAGGTAACTGGTAGTTACTGTGATGCTAAACACTGTGACACTGATGTGTCAAATGCAATAATAGTTATCCATGGTGGACAGTGTTTGGTGGAGCTTCCTGATTAAGACAAGCTTGGAAGCAGGAGTGGCATCCATTTCCAAAAGAGCTTGCCTCCGAAAACTCTATGAACATGGAGAAACAATGAAAGTTATACAAGTGTTCAGGTCTTTCGTTCACAGGGCTGCTATGTGTCATCTATGGCTTGATGACACTTAACAACACGACAGCTGGCTTGCACATAAAATTCATAAACATTTTTTATTCATATGCATTGTGCTTCACATTATCTCTAAGTTTTTGGTTCAACTCCACGTAAGAACTAGAATGACCATTCATTTGTTCACCTTGGGAAAAATGTAGGGACAGACAAAAGTTTCTGTTAAACACTAAAAGGAATTTGCTACCATTTGTAGCATAAAAGCACTGTACTGTCTTGTTAGAGAGGCAAGACACGGCAAGAATATTGTCTCATAACTTGGGGAGATGAACATATGATAGAAACCAGGATGAGACCTCGTTTACACAGATAATATTCCTCTCTCTAATAGGAGTTTGCCATCTACTCCATATGACCCCATGGTTAGTCAAAATTTAAAAACATTTTAAAAAAATTTTTTTCTTTTAAAGGAGAATAGGGAAACTATAATGTTTGAAAAGAAAATTCAACTTGCAAAATGAAGACTTAAAAATGTACACTAATAGTCAAATTAGGAGAGCATAAGAACTACTTTGACCTGCTGCTCCAAAGACTCAGCAGCTTCAGCCGACTTCCTTTTGATTTCCCACAGCAGTCACGTCTCTCTGGTGATGTAGTCCCTAGAGTGCTGGGCTGCCAACCAAAAAATACACATCTCCGGTGGTTCAAATCCATCAGTGACTCCAAAGGAGCAAGATGGGCAGTCCTCCCATTAAGACTTGCAGCCTTGGAGACCAGAGAGGATTGTTCTGAGTTGAGAACAACTGGAAGGCAATGACTTTGAGCTTATATTAACCACGAAACACAACTTACTCCTTTCTGTGACTGTCAGCTCCGTGGTGGGGATGTTATGATGGACGTCTGGGGGATTCTTCACAGCACAGCTGAACGTCCCATTGTCCTTCATGTTAGGGTTGCTTATGCTGATGGATGCATCACCTTTGTACACGTTGCCAACCCAGGAAATTCTATCTCGAAATCTGCCTGATGTGGTCGGGTACGTGAAAGACTGGTAATGAAAAATCTACGAAAGCAACACAATGATGGGGGGAAAGTTTTCATGAATATATAAAACTAAAATTAAAAATACTTGCTGTTGAGGAGGAACTGACCCATAGCTGACCCTCTAGTGGGTTTTCAGAGGCTGTAAATCACATGGGACGAGACCACTCATCTTTCTGCCCAAGGAACAGCTGGCAGTTTCTAACCACATGCCTTTGGTTTGGCAGTGTAGCTTCTTCCCACTAGGTCACCAGAGTTCCCTTATAAAACTAAGTAGAAAGAAAAAGAAAAAAACACAACAAACCCTAAGTAGGAAAAAGATCATCTATGAGTTAACTAGTTTAAAAAACTCACCTAAGTAGATACAAAATGAGGTTCAACATTGTATAATTTTTTTATGTTTTGTTCACCTCCATCCCATAAGAAAAAAGACAGATCAGTAAAAATGATCAGAAAAAAAAGAGAATTGTAGAATCTCTTCTGTGTAACCTCTTCCAAATCCCCTCTAAATTATTAAAGAAATGATTCTCAACTGAGCAATTTTTCACCCCAGGAGACATCTGACAATTTGTAGAAACATTTTATCAGAAATGGAAGATAGAGAGTTTACTATTGGCATCTTGTTGTGAGAGGTCAAGAATATTTTAAAATATGCAATTATGCACAAAATAGCCCCCTAATCAAAGAATTCTCTAGCCCACAATCTCAACAAAGCTCATACTGAAAATCTGTGTTCTAAAGTAACAGTCAATATTTGTATAGTACTTTATGGTTTCTAAATGACATACAACCAACCACATGGACCTCATAAAAATCTTGAAATACAATGAGCAAATATAATTATCCCAAATTTGTAGAGAGGGAAATAAAGCCCAAGGAAAAACAAAACAAAAACAAATCCTGAGTTGTTCAAAGGCATACAATGAGAAAGTTGCAAGGTAGAGATGCTGGTTTATTCTCAAAATTACCAAGAGACTACAATATAATCCAACCTCTCACAAGTTATCAGTTTTAATAATGAATATAAACCAAGAGTCACATGCATGGTAAATAGTCAATAACATTATATTGAATTAAAATGATGCTGCTTCAGACTTGGTACTTAAAAACCTCATAACCATATCAGACGATCTGTCAGAGAAGGAGGGACAATCTCCTCCTGTTCTAGTCAGATGCAATTTGATGGTACACACACACAAAAAGAATTAAAAAAAATAAAAAATAAAATAAACCCAAAACCTTATAACCAGAACAATCTCATTATATCTGTGACTACTTCAGGCAGGCACTGTTGACAAAGTGTGACCTCTCTTTCTTATGCAAGATACATAGCTTTCCTCTTTCTTTGTTTACTTGACATCTTCCCACTTAGGAACTCAACCACTGAATTGCCCAATTTTGAAGAGCAATTTCCTAGGGAAGATGCTGCATCATTTACTTGGTTCATGCATTCATCCAACAAATATTTACTGCACACTTCCTATATACTGAAGTATTATGTTAAGCAAGGAGTTTGTGTGATCCCTAGGTGGCACACTTTAGTGTTAACCAAAAGCTTAAAGGTTCAAAACCACCCCAGGTGTCTTGGAAAAACCCCTAGAGATATAGTTCCAAAACATCAGGTCACTAAAAACCCTCTGGCATACATACAGTTCTATTCTCATTCACATAAGGCAGCCATGAGTTGAAATTGATGGCAATTGGGTTAAATTAAAGGGATATAATAGCAGCCAAAAAGGCATGGTCCTTGCTTTTATGGTACTTAAGTCTATTGGGAAATATGGATATTAAAAACCATAATAAATAATTAAAACCTACCACCAGCAATCAGCATTAAACAGAAAAGGATTTGAAGCCCATTATTGACAAAACTAGCCTCACTGCATACGTTCAGAATTACTCTAACCTATCAGTTCCCGTTAAATTAGTGAGACTCAAATCTCTAGCCAAATCCTAAATGGACATTAACTGCAATATCATATTATATGATGTGAAAAGTCTACTAATTTAAGTATGAGTGCAATGCAATAGATTTCCCTTTATATATGCCTTACTGGCCCCAGCTTTATAGTTCTGTCAAGATAATTAATTTATTAGGTTACCATCTTGCAAAGGAATTAAACCATTTACTATGTAAATAAGGTACAAAAAACCCTTGTTGGAATTAATCTATGTTTCTACGCAAACTAGATAAGGAGTCCCAGTGGCCTAGGCTGTAAGGAACTGCACTGCTAACCCAAAGGCAGCACCTCTCCAGCGGTTCAAATCCACCAGAGGGTCTGAGAAAAAGAAAAGATGGCAAATCTCTTCCAATGCCATTAACAGTCTCTGAAGACCTACCGAGGGTTGGTTAGGAGTCAGCAATGAGTTTTTTATATAGACTTGGTGACTGTGGCCTAGTTTTGCCACCCTGCTAAATTTAAATAGGTTAATCCCACCGGTGTTGAAAGGGTCCGCACTGCCATCAAGAAGAACCTGATTTAAAGAATGTCCCTGGAGTCCTTGAACAGATAGAGTCATAAGCAGACAGAGAGCTGTAACACTGAATGCTGCATAAGATGATGAGCAATGTCACAGCAATGGCATGAGACTACAGGAACCAGGAAATCAGTATAAGGTGGCTGTCGTGGGTTTGTGGGCTCTCTAAGTGAGAGAGAGCTGAGTGCCTTCGTGCACCAGGCTTGTTGGCAGTATAGAGTACTTCCAGGACTGTGTCAGGCCACCTAAAGAGCTGTAACACTTACTCAAGCATGACAAAGACCAGACCAAGCATGGTCTGCTGGACAGTATGTCCAAGAAAAGTGGAGAGAGCTATCTTGGTTGAATGCTATCCTAAATTGCCATACTATTGTTCTGTTATTTTCCAAGTTGATCCTGATCCTAAGCTGTAGCCTATAATCTCAACACTAAAACCATATAATCATGAGTATAGTCTATAAATTCTGTGTGGCCATTGCAAAGAATCATGACACCAAGCAGACAAGTAGAGAGTGTTGTAGGGAGGACACCTGGTATCAGAGACAGTGAGGAGGTGTTGGAGAGTAGAGGCATGTGCAACCTCCACCACACAGGAATTCGCTCTGGACTGCCGGTGCTGATCTGGATTCTCACCCCTTCCTCTGAAGCTGGGTAACTACTGATGCTACAGAGTACCTGTGGGTGAGTAAGTGTAGCAACTTCTAGACCAATCTCACAGAGAATGGCACTGTAAGATAGCTATTGTTTGTATTTAAGGCTTCTGATCCAAGAGCTCCTCACTGCTTGCTCTGCCCTACTTTTGATCAAGGAAGCAGAGTGAAATGAGGCCAGCCATAGCTTCCTGACCACTCAGAATGAAGAACACTTCAGTGAACTATTTAAAGTCTAAAGGGGAAAAAAAACAACAAAACAGAACACAGAACTATAACCTAGCTTCCTTCACTGGAGCCACCTGCCTAATTCTGTGGCATGAAATAATGACTCCCCAAACAAAATTCAAAGTTTAGACATTAAAATCAAAGAGAAAATTTTTCCAGTGAAAGTAACAGGATAAATAGACTCGGGATACTTTCAAGAATAGACAGACAGCAATGACACTCACATTTTTGATAGCATCTATCTTGAGCTAATACTGCTGACAGCACTATGATAGAGGCTGCCGTTTAAATAGCATTGCCATCTTCAATTTGACAATCCACAATGGAGTCTGGATCATAAATTTGCCTTAGATGTATGACTAAAGTGCATTTTGTTCTAGTAATGCAAGACCATCTGTCACCAGGAACTGCATGCTGGTGCCACCACTTCCTTCAAAGGAAGCTATATAAATCAGTGCAGGTGTTTGTTCTCTGGGAGACAAATCAAGATAAATCTGCCGAGCAGATATACAAACAGATACACCCACACGAGATACCTGCACACAGCACGAAGCAAGCAGCTTTAAAAGAAAGGAAGTCTGTGACTGGGACTTACAGAATTTTTTCATACAGAAATCCTAGTTTGTTGTTGTTGTTGTTGTGTGCTATGTGCTATCTAGTTGGAACCAACTTCTAGTTGAGCCCCCAGTGGATTTTCAGAGAGAATAAATCACATAGGAGGAGACTGCCCATCTTTCTCCAGAGAAGCAGCCTGTGGATTTTAACACCTGTGCTTTGAGCTGGCAGCGCAGCTTCTTATACTCAGCCACCAGAGCTCCTTACAGAAGTCTTAGAGGGACCCTTATCAGTGTACTGAATCTGAAAATGAAGCTATGTAAAAAGAAACAACAAAGGGGAAACTACATTAAACCACATTTCCTGAGTTCCTGACAGTATTTGGTTTGTTGTTGTTTTTTCATTTCTTCCTATAACTTGTTTGCTTGACTCTTAACAGAAAAAATAAAAAGTCCTGCATGATCAAACAAATGTCTTTATGAGGTAAATATTCTGCTCATTCTAGTTAGATAGTTCAGATTCTAAGAGGAGAAGGTCTAAAGATCATCTGTGACTTGGAATAAAAGGATTCCAAAGTCGTTGATGACTGAAGACTAACAGAAAGTTTCTGAAAAGTAAATACTCACTGATTCCACGCGATTGCTGCTGGTAGACCGATAGGTCCAGTCTATGGTGAGTTTGTCAGTGACATCGTTAGTCGACGTGAAGTAGCATTTCAACTTGATCTTTTCTCCCACATAACCTCGGACATGGGCATCAGTTTTAATCTCCAAAGGAAGGACTATGTAAATACCTAATCAAAGCAAGCCCAAACATTGATAGTGTATTCAATTGGGTAGAATATACACACATACTAAGAGTGAGCAATATCGATATTTTACTTTTTATTCTTTTTGGGAATATCATAAAAAAGCCATAGGCACAAATGACTTCTCAGGAATGCCCACAGGAGACAAACAGCAGATATGTGTACTAATCAAGGTCAGTATTTTAATTATTTTGCAATCTTAAATAAAAACTAATTACTTGGGTAATAAGCTGGTCACATTAACATCTTCCTAAGCCCAGGGTTGTGGTTAAATAAAGTACAAACAAGTGTTGTCTGCCTTTAGTAGACTTAAAGACATCTTTCCTCATGCTCCCAGCCCTCCAGTTCTGGGAACATGGCAGTTTTGTGGTGTAAGGGCCTCAAGTACAGAGAGTTGACACTTGCAGCCACCGTGACTTCAGCCACCAGAACAATTAGAATATTTTTTCAAAGGATTTTATAAAATGGTTCCAAAGGTTTATACAGGTCTCTGTCCCCCTTCTTAAACCTGGTTCATTAATCCTATCTCAACTTGAAAATAAATTATTATGTTCAAAAGCTCTAGAGACTTACTCTTTCCAAAACCACCTCATATATTCAACTTTGATACTCCATCCCTCCTACACCACTAAATAGTGGTTTCTTCTAACCAATCCTCCAACTTTCTCAAGCCAGAGAGTAGAAACATATCTTCCACAGGGGAAATGGTTTTCATGACAGTAAATCACCAGCACTTTTTTTTTCTTTATTCCTTATCCACCACAATAAACCATGATGCTCTCGTTGACCAAATACCAACAGTGCAGTGCAGTTTCACAAGACAGCAGCCCACACACAAATCCTGAAAACCAGCAGTCCCTCTGGCACAGGCAGGATGGTGTCATGATTAAGCACCCAGACTTCTAGCCCAGAATGTTTTGGTTCAAATCCCAACACTACCACAAGCTCATTCTGTATTCTCAGAAATTCCTTTATTTCCACGAGATTCCTGTAAGTTAACATAGGCATAACACTGAGGAGCCTCCCTGACTCAGCACAAGCCTTCAGTGGGTCTCATTGTCATCACTGCCACCTCTTCAGTCCTGCCTACACTCTCTGAACCTTTCCTATGGAAGGCAGACTTGTGAGTCATCAATTCCACTCTCTTTACCTTGGCCTGCTTTGAATCATTTTTCATTCTCTCCTCTGGACAATCTAGACTGTTCACATTCCTACTAAAAGGAGGAGACTAAAACTGAAAGAATGGAAAGGAAAATCATGAGTTTGATTTTGAATGAGATTAAAGTGCCTCTGAGATAACTGCAGTGTCAACCTAAAGTTGGCTTTTTTAGCCATTACCTTAGCTCCCTCTGGTCTTAAGCTACCTTAAATACACATGGTCTTACAAATCATCAATAGCTGTGGGACTAGGATATGAGAAACAGAGAGCGAGAGAGAGAGAGCACCTCCCACACTGGGCAGCAAAACTTGAGGGAGACTGGAGCAAGAGCCTTCCCTGCTGAGAAGGAGACCCTGGTAGCGAGATCCTGGTGAAGGCTGTGGAGAGACTAAGGCAAGATATAACCAGAGGAGCCCTGATATAAAGACCACAGTCAAAGGTTTTTGCTTTTGTTGACAGATAACAGAAGGAAAAGTTGACAGCTGAACTGAAATCGGAGCCTGGACTATTTGAGGAATTGTGTCTTGGGACTCCTGGGCTAAAAGCTGAATTCGCACTGTGTAATATTCTTTGCCTTCCCCATCTCCAACTTATTTCCCTAATAAACCCCATTCTCAGAACCACAACTGTGAGTAAACAACAAATAAAGGAACCTCTTGCTGTTGTGTGGCTCTAAGGGAACCACAGGGCTGGGCCATGGGCTGTTTATCTGCTTTCTGCTCTGGGGCAGCGAGGGGCTGTGCTGTTCTCAGTCCTTCTAACCTTTTCAGAAAGAAGCTCACAGCCCTGTGCTGTGTCCGTGTCCCATTTTCTGCTCTTTAGACAGACAGCCATAGGAAAATGTCGAGTAGGGAGTTGGTTTAGAGAAGAGACTGATCCAAAATATGGCCTATGATATAAATTCAGCTATATATCTTTTTGTAAATAAAGTTGTATTAGAACACAGTCACATCCATGTGTTGTTTATAGTTGCTTTTGCACTACTTCAGCAGAACTGAGTAATTGTGACAAAGGTCACATGGCCCACAAAGCCTAAAACATTTACACCGTAAACCTTTACAGAAAAATAAAAATATTTGTTGACTCCTGATTTAGCACAAAGAAGAGACCTGGGTTAGAGTTAGAAACCCATTTTATCAGTCTCCTGTCAGTCAACTCTCCACATAAATGAACCCTACATCTCTAATAAATCTAACATTGTTCTTTGCGGTTGTTATTGTTGTTAGGTGCAACCGAGCCAACTTTGACTCACAGCTAGACTAGGATCAACAGATTTGAACCTTGCCCTATCGTTACAGTCTCTGTCATGTTCAAAGCACTGCTTGGAATATATCCTGAGAAAATTAAAAATGAGACACAAATGGAGATTTGTACACCAATCAATGTTCATAGCAGCGTTATTCACCATCACAATAACATGAAAACAGCCCAAATGTCCAACTACAATCCAATGGATTGAGAAACTATGGTACACTCACATGATGGAATAATAGGCAGCACTCAGAAACAATGATTTTGAAAATCACTACATAACTTAGGAGGGACTAGAGAGCATTATGCTAAGTGAACTAACTCAGTCCCATAAGGACAAACACTGTATAAAACCATTATTGTAGAAATAGAAGGATAATTAGTAAAGCATGTATGAGGATCCAAGGAATGGAGTGTAGGAGCAGAGGGGCGAGGATGTGGGGCGGGGATCATGGGGTCACACTATTTGGGTAGAAGGAGAGATGGGTAAAGGAAATGGGAAAGATACAGTGTGGAAAACAATGTACACGAACTGTAAGCAAACCAGTATAATTTTTTTTTTTAAAATATCAGTCACTGATGTTCCTTAGCGCTATCCCTTGAGCCTATGGCTCCTATTGAACACGTTCTCCTTGGACAATCTTGTTTTTACAAAGTTAACAACCAATAATATACTAACAGAAGTTGTGTTGGCACAGTGGTTGATGTTCTCAGCTGCTAAATAGAAGACCAGCGGTTTGATTCCACCAGCTGCTATGTGACAGAACAATGAGATAAACTGTTTCCAAAGACTGCAGCCTTGAAAACTCTATGGAGCAACTCTATTGCATTCCATAGGGTTACTTCTGAGTTCAAAATAATATGCTAATGAGACCCAGCCTTCACTGTGAGCATGATCTTCCTCTGAATACACAAATGTTACTAAGTATACTCACTTGAATATTTTCACCACACAACTTCAAACTGAATGTTGAGGAAGAAAGGCCTGGATGATCCAGGCTACAGAGCCAGCTTTCCCGTGAGTGCAACAGAAGAGATAAGGGGAATGAATGGATCTGGAGAGAAAGGGGCAAAAGGAGAATAAGGAGCAACGATCCTGCTCCCAGCTCTGGAAGTGACCCAGACTGGCTTAAACCAACCATTCCATTTAACAGCTAAAAAACCCCAAAACCCAAACAAACCAGAAACCCCTGGCCTAACCTCAATATCTAAAGCTTGACAATTTCTGTGGTGTAATTACTCACATTATGGCTAATATCAAGTTACAAAAAAGGCATCACCAAATGCCATGTTAGAAAGAGGTGAGTTTACTCAGCCCTGGAGAGAGCTGGCTGTAGCACACCATCCTCCAGCCTCCTGAGACTGGTTTGAGGTCAACCTGTGATCTATGAGAGTTCCAGAAAACTTGTTTGGGAAGTTGTTTAATGACTCCACATCTTGATATGCTAGTCTCTATATGTCTGGAATCTTCCTCACTCCCTACTTCTAATTAATGTATTCCTTTTTCACAATTTCATTTTAGTGACACCTCCAGGAAGTCTTCATAGCAGACTGAGGGCATATGCTCTATGCTTCCATGTTTTCTAGCACATCCCTCTCTCAGTACCAGATTTTGAAATGATCTATTGACTTAACTTGCTTCCTCCAATGGACTCTGAGTTCATGAGAACACAGCCTGACACACTGTGGATGTTTAGTAATAAGTATCTAACTGAGTTTAACACAGCTTCCTATTTGTAAGACAAAAGTCATTACAAAATAAGCATAAAATTGAAAAGTTCTAAGTAATTTCTGGTTATTGAATTATAATATATACTACCTACTCACCTAACAACTTCCTCCTTGTTAATATATTTGAACTCCAAAATTATAAGAATAATTTGACCATGAAGGTATCAACATTTGAAGCAACTTACTTTACTAATATCTAAAACACTAGTTGAACATATAATTACAGAAAAAAATTAGACCCATAGGTGGACTAAACTGCACTGCTTGAAGTCAGGATGTCAGTTTTCTGTGAGGAAGAAGCACAAGGAAGGGTCCTGGGATACCAGTGACATACTGCTTAACAACTTGGACATGTTACCCAGCTGTGTTCCCTTTCCAACGTGCATAGAGAATTGTGCAGCTAAATCGAAGGTGGTATCTCTCTAGAGGCTTGAGTCTACCAGTGGCTCCAAAAGTGCAAATGGGCAATTTCCTCTTTGGTGATTTACAGCCTCCAAAACTCAGTGCACTATGTATCAGTTCCAACTTAATAACAATGCATTCTGGGGGTGGGGGTTTTTAACTCAGGGTTTTTTTTTCTGTTCACTTATGTTAATTTTTCTATATATTATACTACAATTAGGGAGCTCTCGGGCAATGAGATTAGGTGTGTCAGACTCAGGGAGATTGGTTCAGAATAATGCAAGTTTCAAAGCTACTGTACATATAGTCACTATGAGTCACAGGTGAATTAATGGCACCTCACAACAAGAGTAGTAAGAAATTGTGCTGCCAACACAAAGGTAGAGGGTTCGAATCTCCATGGGAGAGAGATCAACTCCTGTGCAGTTTACTGCCTCTGAAAACCCACAGGAGGGTCAGCTATGGGTTGATCCTGCCTCTACCATACATAATATACTACAATTAAAAGTATAAAAATAAACAGATAAAAGAGTTTGTTTTGTTCTTTTGCTCAAAAAATAAACAAGAAGAAATAAATAGCAATTTTATATTCACTCAGAAATTTTCATTTCTAGGGCTTTAATGTCCTTATGTGTTGTTGTGTACCATGGAGTCAGAACTGACCCATAGCTGACCCCTCCTACAGCTTTTCAGAGGCAGTTAATCACACAGGAGAAGACTGCCCATCCTTCTGCGGAGCAGCTGGTGGATTTGAACCTCATGCCTTTGGGATTGCAGCACAGCGTCTTGCCACTAAGCCACCAGAGCTCCATATAGAGATCTAAATTTTCACCTGAGTTAAAAAGAATTCTTGTCTGGGGAAAAATGGCCAACTTTTAAAATATTCACAATTAACACAAAGATGGGGGGGGTAGGAAATCTGGGAGCGAAAAAAAACCCCACCACATTTTACTATAGGGAACACTGTCTGATGCCCTTGACAGTAGGGAGTTACACTTTTAACCCATGGACTGCTCCTGTCTGGTCTGGTGATTCTAATCCATTGGTGGAACAAAGATGGGCAATCTCCTCCCCTGCGATTTAGTCTCAGAAACCCAGGGTCAGCTATGAGTTATTTTATGACTCAACAGCAAGGAGTTTGATTTGGGGGGGGTTGGGGGGGGGGGGTTGGGTTTTTTACAAAAGGAAGCCTAGTAGCACAGTGGGTTAGTGCTTGGCTACACTCATCCCAAAGACCAGCAGTTCAAAACTACCAATTGATCTGTGGGAGAAAATGTGTCAGCCTGCTTCTGTGAAGATTTCTAATGTTGGAAACCTTCTGGAAAAGTTCTACCCTATCCTTTGGTGGCTAAGTGGAGAATTTACTTTCAGACAACAAGGTCTGGGTTTCTTTTGTTTCTTTCTTTTGTTTTTCATTTTCTACATGGAGAAAATGAAATAAATATGACAAATAAGTCTACCATCTTTGATTCACACCCACAGCAAAAGAGAAAAATATAACTCTAGACAGCCTCATCCACTGTTTCTATTATATATTCATAATGAATATAGAAGAACCAGATTTGTAATATGGGGAGAATTCAAACTAGCTAACTACTTAATATACTCTATCTTTGAAGAGTTGAAAAATAAATAAACAATGTAGTGAAACCAAAGTTTGTCACCTAACAGATTTGGAATAGGTAGATTTTAAACACACACACACTAAAGGAAAGAAGTCAATCATTAAGACTACATATTGTATAATTAGATTTCTAGGAAATGTCCAGAATAGGCAAATTCATATATAAAGTAGATTAGAGGTTACTAGAAGGGAAGAGATAGGAAATAACTGTTAATGGATTTCATGTAGGGTGATGATAATGTTCTAAAATGAATCGTGGTAATTGTTGCAAAACTCAGTAAATATAACCCTAAAGAAACCATAACTGCCACCCAAGAGGATATATACAGACCCATGTTTATTGTGGCTTTGTTCACAATAGCAAAGGGCTGGAAACAACCCAAGTGTCCATTAACAAACGAATGGACAGAGAGAAGCTCTGGTACCTTCACACAATGAAATACTATGCTGCATTGAAAAACAAAGAACTCATGAAATATTACACAAATGGGTAACCCTGAAGGATGTTATACTGAGTGAAATATCTCAGTCACAAAAGGACAAATACTGCATAGTTCCACTGTTATAAAGCGGGACTGACATCAGGGTTGAGGGGAGACTGAAAAGGAGGATAAATAATGTACACTGCAGTAAAACAGATGAAGAAGAGAACTGTTCAAAAGAGGGATATACGATTAGGTATTATTGTCATGACAGGAGTCCAGAATAAAGGCTGCATAAAGAAGTGGACTTGGAGGGAGGGACTGTATAACAATGAAAGAATTTTTAATTTACTTTGCAGAGAGAAGAGTGAATTGGGGGAGTGGTGGGCAGGGAAGAAAGTGCACAATGAATGAATGAATGGAAACCCTATGTCTCTGTAAACTTTCATTAAAATTATTTTTTTTAAAAAAAACTCTTAAAATATACACCTGCATTCTATACTTTGACTGGGTAAATTGTATAGTAGGCAATAAAATTGTTATTTTTAAAGGTAAAAGATGCTTCACATAATGATAGCATAACATCAGCTTTTCATATTTTACTTCATTATTTGACTTACTGTACTTAAAATAGGCTCAAAATAGCTTCAGATTTAAGAAACTACCCACCATTTCTATTTCCCCTCCCAATAGAATATTTTCATATTCCCTTCGTGTGATAGAGAAAAGGAGGCAGACAGAACTGGGATTATAAATTTGGAGCACCAGGCTAGTTTAAATATTATTACACATAATGCAAAAGAATTTAGCTGGAAAACACTTATGACACAGGTAGTTAGGAGGGGACCAGGGAGTGTGCTGGCAGTACAAATATTAGTCACCACAAAACCAAACTCAGTGCCCTGTCGTCTACTCATGGTGACCCTCCCAACAGGTTTCAGACACTGTAAATAAAAATTTCCCAGTATTACATGCTGAAATTTAGGACACTTGAAATCTTTATTGTAAAACTCTCTTTCCGCGATCTGTATTGGTAAGAAGCTGTGCTACCAACGTAGAGGAACACAGTTTGAATCCACCAGCTGCTCTTAAGAAGGATGGGCAGTCTCCTCCCTTGGGATTTACTGTCTCTAAAATCTAACCGGAAGGTCAGCTATAGGTCCGTTCTAACTCAATGATAAACAAGTACCTATTCGGAAATTTTAAAAATAGTTCAGTAATAGCAGCTATCAAGGTTTTACTAAAATTTTCCGTAAAGTCTAAATTTTGCTAATATTTTATATGCCTGGAAGACACACACACATAATACAGGAAATAACTGCACCCCAAAATGAAGATTGAACTACAGGCAACAAATTGCACAAAAGCAAAATACCGCAAATTTTAATGTGCTGTTAAAACTGTATTTCTTACCAGTCAGATCTGATTTGACGGTACACGCACACAAAAATAATAAAATAAATTAAAAAAAAAAAACTGTATTTCTTTACAGCATTGAAGTCTATGGGGGAGAGAATAGTCTAAAAAGTATTATATTTTAGGGCATTATTTTTATCGTAGGAGTACGCAATGAGGGTTGCAGAGTGGATTATATTTGGGGGTAGGGGGTGAGATTTGGGGAGGTGCGGGAGGATTGTGTACCAATGAAGGAGTTTTTCTTTTGCTTTTCAAGGAGAGGAGCAAAAGGGGGGAAGGGGGGAGGGGTTTGTGCGGGGAGAAGGGTGCAACAATGAATGAATGGAATTCCAAAATCTCTGTAGATGTTCATTGAAATGAAAAATAAACGAAATTAAAATTTAAAAAAACAACAAAACTGTATTTCTGCATTAGTTTTAACATGAAAAGTTTCAACAGAAATTATAACTCTTTATTCTTATTTGTCTTAGTCAAAGTTTACAGAGCAAAAGCAAATCTCCCATTTGCTCGTTCGCACATTTTAAAAACTTCTAAAAAACTGTCAATAAAATGCTAAAGCAGTTGATTGTTCAACAAATTGCTGCTTCATTAAAACAAAATCACACCCTTCTCTAACGTGTTCTTTCATAGCCCCTGGTAAATCATCGACAAAAAACAAAATTACCACGATTCCAAGAGTCCTATTTTTCTTTTCCAAAATTATTGTAATAAATTACTTAATACTAGGGCTGATCTTTCTTAGTTATAGAACCAAAACTATCTTTCATCAGAGATGATGTGTTCCAACTTTTAGTTATCAACCAAGATATCAGGATTTTTTAGTTATAAGCCAAGATCTTAACCACTGCACCACTTCGTCTCCCTAATGAGGGTATATTGCCCACAAAACCACAGCAATCACCTATCGATCCTGATTAACAAAGATAAAAGCCACCAAATGCTCTCAAAACGAGAGTGTTCCGTGGTCCCATCAGTCATGCCATCGCCAGAGCTCAACGCCAAATCACGCAATGCGGTCGAGCTCCCCGGGGCTCAGGATTGGCCTGACAACCACTCAAGTTCCCCCACAGGGTGATGACAAGCAGCCAGCTCGCTCAAGGTTCCCATCCCCGAGCGTTCAGAGCACCTCCCAACGCCTTCCCTGAAGTCAACAGGGGGCTTCCTAGAGACCACCCCTTACACCCGGAACCGGAAAAGCGACCATCTTCCCTAAGCCCCTCGCCGGAAGTAGGGCTGAGCCGCCGGCGCACTCACCCTGGAAGAGTAGGGCGCCCAGCAGCGAGAAGCGAACGCAGCCTCGGCGTGCAGCCGCTCCGCTCTGCGGCATCCCGACAACTCGGATGCTCTCACACCTTGTTTACGGCTCCGGGGAGCGACACAGGTGACAACGGAAGTGACGTAAGCGGGCGGCAGCAAGAAAACTAAATGGCGCCCCACAGTTGGCGCAGAGACATGGCTGCTTTCCAAGACCACACCTGAGCTTGCTCACTCACTGCAAATTTTTAGGATTTAGGTGGGCGTGACTCTCCTTCTGCTTCGCTGCGCAGTCGGCCGACTTCCCGTGAATTTCACAACAGTCAACTGAGTGGCTCAGCCTAGCTTTAGGGAATTCTGTTAGGATTTCATCGTTTTGGTCTTCTGACTGTATTGCAGTTCTTTTACTCCAGCGCATCTTTGGTTGTGAATGCTCTCGGAGTAAATTCCTATAAACTTGAGTTCAAAGAGTCCTACTAGATCATACAGGATCGTAATCTAGATAGTTAAACTAGGTCTTGAATTGTGCTTCGGTCTCCGTTCAGAGTGTAGTTATATAGAAAACTCATTATTCCCTAAATTATTTGTTGAATTAGAATTAACAGGATGATGATCAATATATTTCAGCATGTTGTTGATGACCATCGACTTGGAACTGACCCACAGCTTACTCACAAGCGAGTTTTCAGAGGCAGTTAATCACAAGGAGGACATGCCCATCCCGAGAAGCAGCTGGTGGATTTGAACCCTGTGCCTTTAGGTTAAACACAAATCATCACCAGTAAGCCTCCAGAGATCCCTAGTTCAACAAGATGTTTTCTGTTTACAAGGACTATGATGGGGGAGGGGTAAGGGGGTGTATTTGTGTGTGTGTGTGTGTGTGTGTGTGTTCTAAGTAGAAATTAAATTTTCCCACTGCAATCCCAGAGGAGCACGGTTCGGATCCACCAGATGCTATGCCGGGAAAGGAGGGACAATCTCCTCCTGTACCAGTCAGATCTGATTTGACGGTACACGCACATGCACAAATAATTAAAAAAAAAAATTTCCCTTAAAATTTTAATTACTCCATTAATGGAAATTTTTATAGCATTTGTGTTAATGCTTTGAAGTAGTACGAAGAGAGCTGGTGTCACATCTTTCTGAAAAAATTGGATGATACTCCGCATTCATCAATAGTATTCTCAAGACAGCACTACATGTTTAAAGAAAGCAGGGTGAGGTGGAGAGTTAAATATGCTTCAGATTTAATGAACTTTGCATTCTTCAGGTCTCTTCCTTTTGCTAGAAAGTCGGTAGATGTCTGTGAAGGTGATAAGAATACCAACTGGAACAGACCAGAAGAGTCCCCAAACTAAGTAGTATTGATAGCCACAAGTCACAGATGCCTAGAGCAGTTCGGAGATTCCGTGGAAATCCATATAGAATTACCTAGCAGATGGCTGTCTACCCATTACTGGCTTCCATGCATCTGTGTTAAGAAAACATCAATAAAGAGACAATATATTCTCATCTGTTAACCTGCTATGTAAACATTTGAAATTTGTATATAAGTAAATGACATAGTTGGTCCATTTTTATTACTAAAAGTTTATTTACATGAATATGGCACAATAAAAATAAATTACAACACAAATGTACTTTTTCAGAACAAAATACTGAACAACATGTAATATCTGGCAAGGCCATGTTACACATTTGAGTATTTAGCTGAGAAACTACAATTTTTGCTGGAAAAACTCACCATGAGTTTTTGACTACTTCATTCTACTTATAGAACAACATCTTCATTGATTTGGGGGGAGGGAATCAAGTTACAGTGTTTTCAGAGGTTGAATTATGTATGATTGGATTAAAGAAATAGGGATTTCAGATCAAAGTTAATATGTAAATATTGCCTCAATTTAAAAAAAAATGCAAAGATAAGATTCAGCATCTTTAAATACAGATAACATATTTGAAAGTTCAAGTTTGTTAAAGAAATCTCTAGTCCAACAAGTGAAAACTGAAATTAGGCAGATTATCAAAAATTATCTTGAGCCTTATCAACACACTTTTAGGTGTGCCGTGTCGCTATAACTTAACTTTGGAAAAACAAGGAAATAAATTTTCCTCTTTTGGAGGAGGGAAACAACCCTTTGCATAGGCCATTTATAAAGTTTGCTCTATCTACCAGTATATGGGGAGGGAAAAGAATTGGTTTCATTTAGTTAAAGTAATTGTGGCATTTCTCTGTCCCAAGACAAATCTTCCTTTACACAAAGCAAACAAGTGAACAAAAACAAGTAAAAAAGAAACTTAATCCCTTTGTGTTCTCAGAACTTTGTATCATTCCATCATTTATGGTTCATTTGGCTTTTTTCCAGCAGCCCCAAGTTTTTAAAGCTGTAATGCACTACTTCAGAATCCTTCTATTTGGCTGTTTGATGATACCAGTCTACAAATGAGCATAGAACTTAGATTATTATTGTTATAGATAATTGAAATGGGGAGGAAAAGCCTAGTAGCCTACCTAGTCAATCACAACATAGAGGGGAAAAAACTACACTTATTTCTCCCAAAACAAGAAATAGAGTGACAAGTGATTGATCTTGTGATATCTGGTCAATCTTTCAGTATTTATTTTTTGTATATCCTTTTCTGGATACTCTGTGACTTAGACTTGTTTAATTTTAAACCAAGATGTTACGCATGTTGTTGGAGAGCCATAAAAGTAAAAATGTTTTAATTTGGGAACTAAAACAGCTGGGGAGTTACCTCACCTTTAAATGTAGAGTATAAGGCAAGAAAATAAACATACTTTAGTAGCAAAAAAACTAATACATTAAAGGGGAAAAGTCATAGTCTAAAAACAGTCTGCTAGGGAAAAAATATAGCTTGTTAAATGCATAGAAACCAGTGAGCATTTTAAAAGTGTCTGCACCCTTAATAAATGAGTCTGTAGTAAGTTTGATGGTATCTGCTCAAAAAGGACCCCGTACTGGCTTCAGAAGAGCGTTGTTATGTAGGTAGGTAGGTACCGCAGGGCTGAATGGAAGACAGATCAGAACTGGAAAAGCCAAAAAAAAGCTACCTTTAACTTCAAAGTAGCCTACGGTTCTGGTCCATGGAAATTTTTAGTTTCCTAAAATGTAAAACATAAGTTTAAATAGATAATAAATACATACATTTGGAAAGCATGCAATAGGAATGCTTGGAATTATGAATTACAAGGATATGCTTATTTGATCTATTGGGGGGAAAACCTCTTAAATGTCTTTGTTCTCCCCATAATTTTAATTTGTTAAAGTTTTTCAGTCAGATCTTTGCTGCATAGTCCTCAGAGTCAGGGTCCTTAATTGATAGTCTTTGAGAGCCCTGTAGAGGGCCAGGGTGGTACACAGAGTTCAAGGGCTTGACACCCACAGATGTCTCAGAAGTAGGTCCTGGTGATCGGTTTCTGAAAAATCAGCCACTGAAAACCTTGTAGCGCACAGTTCTTCTCAGATGCATATAGGATTTTGCCATGAACCAGAATCAACTTCACTACAACTAATTAAGTGCCCTGCATGAACAATGACTAGCACATTCTTATTCTGTCTCTCCCTCCCTCTTATTAATGTATTCAAATATAGAGGGGGGGAAATAGAGAAAAGAGTATAGAATTTACCTAAATCTAACTTTTAAATATTTTGCTTTATTTGAAGCTTTTAAAACAAATTACAGATACTCTTAAATTCCATCTTTAAATACTCCAAAATGCATTTTTTGTGAGAGTCAGTTAAGAGTTTATTCCAATTCATTGGAACATAGGAACAGTATTAATATAAAATGTCCTAATAGAGTAGGGTTGGGCTTTTTTTTTGTTTGTTTTTGTTCTATAACTGTAGCATCATTTTCACACCTAATAAAAATCTAACCATTTCCTGACATCATCTATCATGGATTCAGTTGTGTACTCCCAACATATGTATATAATGAGGGAGCTATGTAATGCTCTCTCATGATGTGATAAACCACACAGCTGTAGGATTGAGGTAGAGGATGTTGTTGTTAGGTGCCCTCTAGTCAGCTGTGATCCACAGTGACCCTATGAACAATGGATCTGAACTCTGACCTGTCCTATGCCCTCTTCATCAAATATACTTGAGCCCATTGTTACAGTCACTGTACATCCATCTCCTTGAAGATCTTCCTCTCACTGATCATCTGCCTTTCCAAGAATGACGTCCGTGTACAAAGACATCTGAAAGTTGGACAGTGAATAAGGACGATAGAAGAAGATTCAAGGCCTTTGGATTGTCATGTTGGAGAGAGTATCCCATGGACCCCCAAAAGAACAAACAAGTCTGTGTTGGAGGCAGTGCAACCTGGTGCTCCCTAGAGCCAAGGATGGTAAACGTGGTCTCACATAATTTAGGCATGTTGTTAGGAGGGGCCTGTCCTTTAGAAAGACATCATGCTGGGAATAATAGAGGGTCAGAGAAAGAGAAGGAACCCTCAACAAGATGGACTGACAACAGTGACTGCAACAATGGGCTTACGCATATCAGAGACCATGAGGACAGCGTGGGATAGAGCAAGGTTCACATCTGTTGTTCATAGGGTCATCCTGAGTCATAGTCAACCAACAACAGTAGTAAAAGCCTAGGTTGCTTTGAAGAGACTTGCTGGATTTATAGGTGTCAAAGGCATTTCTCAAGAGGCATGGATGAGAAGCAGCACCAGTGAACCAGCAGTAGCAGAACCAGAATTCCTGTGCAGAGATGGAGACAGATACTGGATGGCATGGAAGCTGATCCTTGGAGCCAGAGAACTGATTCTTTTCAGGCAACTTTTCAACAATTGTCAGTGAAGCTGGGCTTGCCACTGTATAGATCTAAAAAGCTGGGTGTCCCTGAACGGAAACTTAATGATGGAACAGGATACCTCTGAGCATTTATGGCCAGAACTGAAGAATTCTGTAACATTTATGGAAGCAGCACAGAGGCTGGGCTGGCCTCTTTGGGAGCCCAAGGAGCATGCTGCCTCTGTCAAAGTCTCTGGGATCTCAAAGTGTGGAAGCATGGCTTCTAATGGTAGAAGTCACAGTTTGCTAGACTTCAAAGAGATCTTTGCCAGCTCAGTTCCAGAGTAGGGACTTAGCTTAAGATGGGGCCACCTCCCAAAAGCTGAGGAGTAGGGCTGCCATGTCCAAGGGGGCAGAAGTGTGGGGTCTGCTGGGATCAAGGAAGGGGGGTCACTACACAGATTGGATTAGTTGCCCAAAGGCAAAGAAGCAGAATTCTCTGAGTGGGCCCTCTGGAAGGCAGAGCTGAAGCCCAGAGCCAAGGGGCCTCCATGCGGAGCAGAGACAAGAGCTGAAGCCGGGTCTGCAGGGCAGAGTAACTGCCTAGAGAGCTGTTGATTATTTTAACCCTTGAGGGCTAATCAAAATAGCTCTAGATAGTCACTTGCTTGGTATTAACTGTGTCTGTCCTTTCCCTCCAGTTTCTCCCATTTGTAATCTGGATAGCTATCTACCCCTGCTTGTTTCACAATTGTACTTTGGAATCAGGTTTCTTGCATTCTAAGTTCATAGATGTAGAAAAATTCTGTCCCAGGATGGCATATGGATTTGGAATTGATTTTAGACTTTTGTGATAACATGTTGGAGTGAAGTGTTTTTTGCATGTAACAAGGATGTGAGTTTTGGCAGACATGTACAAAGTACATGTGTATAATTCAGAACTTGTGTAATGATACCCCAGGATCTGATAAGACAAACAGTTGTAGAAATATGAGTAGAATGCAACATTCCCTAATATCACTAATACCATTCCAGCCATAATGATAAAGAGTTCCCCTAGGGATCTAGAGATAAAAGGGGAAGAAAGCAAGCTAAGACAGCCAGGAGGGCTTAGGGACCACCAAGAAGTAATCAGTAGAAGTGGAGTGTGTCCTTTTGGACCCAGGCCCCTGCACAACAAAGCTCCTTCACACTGGGCCAACTTAGAACACAAACATTTCAGCAAACTCCAGCTGGGACTACAGATGCAGATGGACTGACAGACAGGAACTTCCCCTAGAGTTGGCACCTTGAGTTTAGACTTCACCTAATCTATGAGAGAGTTAATTTGTTAATGCCATCCACTTGTGGTATCACTGCTATAGGAGCATTTGATAACTAAAATATCCATATTCATAATTCCCCCTAACTGCCACCTCAATTTTTTATAACTAATTTATTCAAATTAGCATCAATTCAATTAGAGGATTACATATTGTAGCATTATTTATGTTGCATTAATTGTTAGTATCTTGTTTTTACCTGAAAATCCCTCCTTTTTATTTTCCTTGTTAGAAAATCAACTTTGGTTGAGAAAAATAGTAGCCCTGGGTAAAAACTCCCTTATGCCAAATTTGGTTTTCTGTTCTTACCAGAGAATTTTTTTACTCCATATTATATGTTATAAACTTTGAGGGTTTTCCTACAACCAGGAGAAGATAACGTAGATGAATGGGATCTTCTAAGACTCAAATCCCTATGCACATCCAAAAACTTCTCCAA